ACTGTGTGCACCGGGATACCATAAGGATGCTAGTTCATGTCCCGGATGTTCCACTTCCCATCCAGCTAGAGGACAGCCTTGGGACCCTGCGCCCATGTGCAGGAAGATGCTCCTGGCTCCTCATCAGCTCAGCTCCGGCCATTGTGATCACTTGAGGGAATCAGTGGATGAAAGATCTGTCTCTCCTTCTCTCCATACATCTGCATTCCCAATATAAATAAATCAGGAGGGCCTTTTCGTAGTAAAACTCAAAGCTGAAAAAGGGCCTGAGCCTCTCAGCCTGACTGCAGTAACCTCCATGGACCCTCACTTAGGAAGGCTTAGGAAGGCCTGAGTGCCTTGGGAAGACTGACCCAAAAAGTCAAAGGTGGGAGGAAGTTTCCTTTGGTTCCCTCCTCAACCCACACAGACATGAAGCACTGACCTGTTCAGGGCAGGAAACAAACTGACTGAACCATCAGCCAAAAAAAAAAAAAAAAAAAAAAGAAAGAAAGAAAAACCCACAAGACTCCCTCCCTTCCCCTTTGCCCCACACATCAGCTAAGGAAAAAAACTCAGGCCCAGCATGATAGCCTACCGACTAAATCCACATGCCGCCGGTTTGTGTCCCAGCTGCCCACTTCCCATTTAGCTCTTCATTTCTGTCCTGGGAAGGCAGTAGAAGAAGGCCCTAAGCCTTGGGACCCTGTACCTGAGTGAAGACCCAGAAGCTCACGGCTTCAGGTTAGCTCAGCTCCTACTGTTGCAGCCACTTGTGGGATGAACCAGCAGAGAGAAGACCTCTTTCTCTGCCTCTCCTCCTCTCTGTAAATCTGATCTGCCTTTCCAATAAAAATGAATAAACCTCAAAAAAAAAAAATCCTAGCACTAAAATGCTTTTCCTTTGACTGAAAAATTCAAAATGTGGGTTCTTTTTCCAACCCTAATTCTTCTTTCTATGCCCTTATTAGAGATAGTATCACCTACTTTATGGGACTGAGGGATTTCAATAAAGTCCCCTTGTAAAGTAGTGCCTTGGACACAACAGGCCTCAATAAATTTAACTACTCTGACAGGATGTCTGTTTGTCCTAAGAATATGATATGATGAAATGTCTCTCCCACTGACCACAATAAAACCCAGTGTTGAAGTCCTGATTCCCCAAAGTGTCAAAATGTCACTGAACTTGAAGACAACGTTCTAAAAGGGTGATAAAAGGTATATGGGTCGCTGCAATGGATGGAATCCTTTTAGGAGATCAGGCCAGACACACACACACACACACACACACACACACACACACACACACACAGATGCAGGAAAGAACACTACAAAAGCCAAGGACAGGTTCCCAGGAGAAACACATCCCATGTTCTCTGAGCTTCCAGCTCCTCCAGAAGTCTTCAAGAAATAAAACTACTATTGGGCCCGGTGAGGTGGCCTAGTGGCTGAAGTCCTCACCTTGAACACACCACAATCCCATATGGGTGCTGGTTCTAATCCTGGCAGTCATGCTTCCCATCCAGCTCCCTGCTTGTGGGCTATGAAAGCAGTTGAGGATGGCCCAAAGCCTTGGGACACTGCATCCAAGTGGGAGACCCAGAGGAAGTTTCTGGTTCCTGGCTTCAGATCAGCCCAGCACCGGCTGCTGTGGCCACCTGGGGAGTGAATCATCTGATGGAAGATCTTCCTCTGTCTCTCCTCTCTGTATATCTGACTTTCCAATCAAAATAAGATAAATCTTAACAAAAAAAAAAAGAAAAGAAAGAAAGGAAGAAAGAAAACTATTGTTCACACCACCTGGTCTGTGGTCCTTGGTGATGGGATCTTAAGTCGACTAATACCAATGCTTTTAGAAATAAAGCTGACCCACTTTAGAAATAAAGCTGGGAGTCTGTATTTAATTTAATATGCAGTGTATTGAAGATTCTCACATATTTTGAACATGTGACAAAGGTTAACGCCTGTTGCTCTAATTTGAAAGGATCTTCTAAGTCACCGCCCTGCCACTCACCTGCAATTTATGAACCACCAGCGCTTTCACCCCCTGCAAGTTTATTAAAAATGCAGAATCTCAGATACTGCCCTAGACCATCAAATCATGGCCTGCACACTATTTAATGGGATCCCCCACGCTGTCTTGAGGCACACTGAATTCTGAGAAGCACCCAATCTCTGCTAGAATCACCTTGTTACACATACTTTGTTAAAAACAAGACTATTTGTCTTCTTTGAAGAACCACCCAATCTCAACCTCCAAGAAAGGTCTGGAAAACATGACTTTATTCTTCTGTATTTTTGTGTGGCCAGTCATATAGCAGCCTGAAGTGTGAGAATTCCTTAGCTCAAAACAAATGTACATATATGCATAGACACATATATGTATACATATGTAGGTGTATGAATGTGTGCATATGTATGCACAGGAATCTCCACTGCCCAGCCTTTGTCTAATAAGTTTCCAATTTTTTTCAAATACAAACAATAACAGATACAGATTTTTATTTTTCCATAATGCAGACAAGCTTACAAACTAGCTATATTATTTAGGAACACAGAAATAATTGCATTATTACCAGGATGTCAAATTATCAAATTATCAAGTAGGACAACCAGTTACTGATTACTTTTGGGAGTTCAGTTTTCACAGAACATAACAATTTCCCAATTACATTTCCAAAACTACAGAGAAATTATGAGCCCAGGACAAGCTGATAACAATCCTAACAGTCGTACAGTCTTCATGTATTACACAGGGGGAAAAAAAACATATTCTGATGGATACACAAGGTCGAGGGACCATTTGCTCCACTTCTGTGCATGTATGAAAATGCCCATAATAAACAGCAAAGTTTTTTTTTTTTTAGAAAACACAAATAAAACGGCTCTATTTTCCCATTAGGCAAAACATGGGAAAAGTGGTAAGATTTTACCTAGAGCCAATATAGGCAGCATATAGCATTAATCTTCCATCTACCAAAGGCCACAGTTAGAACAAGAGAAAGCCTCCAAAGTAACATTATCGTTTTTGGTCTGTTTCTGGTTCGTAAAACCCACTAGCAATGATAAAATTAGAAAAAAAAAAACTTTGAGCACACCTTCATCTCGGCAACCTGCTTGCCCACAACCCCTTTAATCCTCCTTTTCCAACCGTAGAAGGCAACCTGTGTGTCCCTTCCATCACTGAAACAGGCCTCCTCTCTTTAAACCTTCTCAAGCCATGTGTGTATTTTTCTAGGCCACTCCATAGGAAGCTCATACTTCCGACACACTGCTGCCAAACCCACCTGCCTAGCACATCCTTGCCACAACTTTGCATAAAGACCCCTCTTCGGCAGACTGAGGCCTTGCATAGGAAACGCAAAGTTAGGAGGGCAGGCTGCAGCCAGCCCTACTTCCCAGCCCCAGCCAAGAGCCAGAGCAGGTGGACAAGGGCCCAGATCCGCTTTCACACTCACTGGAAATACCCTGGTGGACTACCACCTTCAACCCGTCTCGGGAAGAGTTAGAGACCCAGGTGCTGGCAAATAAACCCTACAGCAATGGATAGCTAAAGGTGGAGCGTCAAGAGCCAAGGACCACAGACAGCAGCAAAGCCAAGGCTGAGGCGCCACAGATTACAAAAAGAAAATGGCAGGAGGCACCTGGTCTTAGCATAGTACCCAAGAAAAGTCAGAACCAGGGTACACACAAGTCTCCAAAACTGCAGCCTGGGGCTTTCTAAACTCAGCAGATGCACAGGCCACACACGGATCTTCAACTTCAAGACTGCAAAATAAGGAACTGGCGCCCAGGGTCCGGCTACAGACCCGCTGGCTCTCCAGTTTCTTCTACCCTGTTTCTGCCAACTATTTAAGTGTGTATTGCAGGGTCCCAGAATTTTCCTCAGCTGCATGTAGAAAATTCTGGGCTTTTCAGTTTTCTGTTAGGAATTGTGGTACAGTTAAACAAAGACAATACAGAAAAGGGAGCAACAGGAAAAAGGGTCAAGTAAAGAGGCAGGGATCTGGGAGACAAAGTTAAACAGAGGTTCACAGATCAGAAACAACTCTTCCTCGATACCTCCCACAAGACAGCTATGGTCACATCCTAGGAGGGGGAACAGAACTGTGGGCAAAGCTACCTGGATTCCATGTGGATCCCAGCCCCCACCCTCACTTGCCACCACAGCATGCCAACAGTGAGTACATGTCCACACATACCAGTCTGCCCACCAGGCTCGTGGCCAGCAGGGTTCCTGGAAAGCTGAGTAAAGTGTGTTTCATGCTCTGACAGAGGGCCTGGGTTTCCAGGCAGTTCTTGAGGTCCTCCTTGGTCAGGAAGCAAACTGGGGCCAACAGCAACCTGGACAAAAGTCCACAGTGCGTCAGACATGCTGCATGACCAAACCCGGATGCAGAAGGGCCACACAGCAAAGCACGGTATAAAGCACAGGGTATCCTGCCTTCGCCCTTAACCTCACCCGTGTCCATCCGTCATGGGCCTTTCTGCTTAGTGTCCAGCAGGGTAGCACAGACCAGGGCCAAAGCCGGACACCAAGTAGCCAGCTGGTGACCCCAGACCCATGAACACTGGAGTTCTGGCTCATGGTCAATCCCCATGTGCACTGACTGAGGCTTCATTTGGCAACTGAAATGCCTGCCATTAATGAGGACACCTGTGGTCACCCTGAACATACAAGCCCAATAAGTCACTAGCCTTGAACCAGTGGAGCTTGAGGCTGACCTGGTCCTCCTGGATGAAGACTCCTGTCTCATGTTCAAGTCAAACAGGCAAAAGCCAAGAACAGGAGCCACTGCAGTGTGTGTACTCAAAATACACACAGTAGGGACACTACCGCAGAACATGTGACCCTACTATAACAAAAGCAAGAAGGCCATGGTAAGGCAAAAGAACATGATCAGAAGTGCCACATCCTTGGAGCTCAAGTCCCGAGGGGCTCCAGTGCAGAGAGGCCAACAGGAAGAAAAGGCCAACAAGTGAAACACACTGCACAGTCCGCTATAGGGACACTGGCAAGGTCAATCAGCCTGCTTTATCCCGGGCTCCGGCGTCTCCTCAGGCGGCTTGGTAGGACTTGCCCTGGCTTCCTTCCCTTTCTCTCCACCACGGGCCGCTTCACTCATAAGGTAGTACTGCAGGGGATTGGGCCACAGTTCCTCGTTGATGATCTCAACGATCTTGTCAGACTCGATGGAGCTGTGGTTGGAGAACCAACCAAAGAAACTACGGTTATTTTCTGGGTTGCCTGGGCTGGGGGGCTGCTGCAGCTCGTGCCCTGGCAGCCACTGGATGGGAGTGGAACGCGAGATCACTTGACCCGAAGGTCCACAGCCGTACTCTTTGATGAGCACCTTATTTTGGAAATAGGGATTGCGGCCGAAGTAGAACTTGATTTTGTAGCCCAATCTGGCGAGGCCCAGCTCTTCTACCTCCAAGCTATTCAAGTACCCGAGTATTTCTTTATCTTGGTGGTTCAGAAACGCCGCCAGCTGGGGATGGTTCTGAATGGCCTGCCCCCAGAAACCTGGGATACTCTGAATAAGGAGATTCCTGCGCTCCAAGTGGTGGAGTCGCAACTGCCCAAACTTGCGCGAGAGCCGAAGGTAGGCCCGGTCCGCCTGGGCGTTCATGGTCTCCAGCTTGAGCTGCACCGTCTCCAGCGTATTCATGCTGCCACCATCGCCGGCCGGGGGCCCTGACCCCGAATCCCCCTCCACCACCTTCTCCTCTACCACCACAGGGGTGGGGGTACACTCGGCGGCAGCGGGCGCCCCCGTCTTGGGCTTCACGCCAGCTCCGACCTGAGGCCCCCTTCCCACGGCACTACGGATTTCTGGGGCCTTCTTCCCCGTGGGGACGCGCCGGCTGCCCACGCGGGCGGCGTTGATGTGTTTTGCCGCCATGCCCGGGGTGCCCACCAAGACCGTGTCGGCGACCAAGCGCTCCGAGAGGGACAGGGTCTTCCCGGCGCCGGGCCTGGAAGCGGCCAGCCGCCCGCGGTCGCTCGCAGCTCGGGCGCGGAGCGCGAGGCCACAGTCCAGGGGGAGCCGACAGGCGGCCTCGGCGGCGGCGGCAGCGGCAGCGGCCGTGACAACAGCAGCCGCCGCCGCCGCGGGCCTGAGGGGCGGCGCGGGCGCGGCGCTTTCCAGGTCACCCCTACCCGCGCCAGCCTGCACCTGTGCCGCCTCGGTGGCGTCTTCCCCGAGCCTCGGGCACTGTGGGAGGTCCGGGACGCGAGGGGCGTCGTCTGGAGCAGGGTGGCCGCGGGCTTTGGCTCGTCCTTTGCCCCGGTTTTTGGCGCGGGAGGACTTTCGGCCCCGACTGCGGCCGCTCATGGTCGGTAGCGGACTCGGCTTTTTCCACTCAACACGCTCAGACCCCGAGGCTCCTGGCGCCAGCTTGCGGTTCCAACTGAGCGGGCTTCTCCATGGCAACCGTGGACGTAACGCCCGCGCTGTACGCCTGTGCGCTCGCGCGCGCGGACGGTCCGCGCCCCGCCATTGGCTCGGCCGCCGCAGCTGCGCAGGAGCCGACCCCCGGCGCCGCGTCCGGGCCCGCCCACCCTCGCCTCTGCCCGACTCTCGGTCCCCGCCACCGAGTTCCCTCAGAGTTTTGGCGCGCCAAGTGCCCGGAGCTACAAATCCCGCCCCACGCCTGTCCCGGATGTCTGCTCAGGATGGACGTCCACTAGAACACCAACGGGCCTGTCACACTGCCTGAGGCCGACGCTCTCCTCTGTCCCCCATCATTGATTTTCTATTTTAAATCACCCGCCCCACCCTCGGGCCCTTCACGCGCCTCTCGGATATCCGTCCTAATCAAAATGCTAGTAGCCCCTGCCTCACCGCTGGACCCCCTCGCTGGGGTACTTGTTTGTTCTGACACCTTAGCTGGAAGGAAGGTACAAGTGTGTGGGTTCGTGCCACGCCTCGGAGCTGACCGTTAAAACGGGGATATAGAAATTATGAAAATACATACAGAAGTTTTAAAAAATAGGAAATCGTATTGCGTGAGTATAGTACTGCGAGGTTATCTCGATATGGGAGGGAGTTACTGCTGTTATTCCCCCTTTCTCGGATGAGAAAACCTCAACACCCTTAGCGACCCTCAGGGCCGTTTCTGAGGTGGCACAGTGAGGGAAGGAGGAAGCACCGTGCCCATCTGGGCCTCTCATTCCGTGTTCCAGCCTTTGTCTTCACAGCCGGCTGTGTCTTGCACAGGGCAGCAGTCTCTTGGGGCTAAGGATGCTCCCATCTCCTCGTGATTGCAGTGTAGGTGGCATGACTTTGCAGCCAGCGTCGGCCCAAGAGCCCCTGGAAGGCCTCTCACTGGGATGACTCCAAGTGCCCTTGTTCCCCTGCTACCAGGCATCACCCAGAACCTTATTCAAGAAACAGGATCGCAGGCCCAGAATCCATTTTTACCCGATCTCAGGTAATTAGTCGCGAACCTTCAAATTTAGATGCTAGGGTGGCGGTGTGTTGATGCAACCAGGCCTTCCTGGAAGGTAGTGCTATACGAGAAACAATCCTGCAGTGGCCTGCTCCCCAAGTCTGCTCCCCATCACTGCCCAGGCCACTTTTCTGACCTCCTTTCCCTCCCACTCCCCTCCCCACTGGCCCCGTGACTCTTCTTGCTACTCACTGGTCCCTGCCCCAGGCCCTTTGCCCGGGCTCCTCCTTCTGCCTTGCCTGGATGCAGTCTCTTATCTTGGCCGCATTTTCCTTAGACCTCACCTTCTCAGTGACTAGCCTATTTCAAAACTGCCAGCCCCCATCTCTTTACCCTGATTATTTTTAATCCGTAGCACTTTTCACCATCCAACACAGCGTTGATTGTTTATTGTGTTTTTATTTAGCTGTCCCTTTAAAACAAATAAATAAATTTTAAAATCCTAGCCCCGTGAGAGGAGAGATCTTGATTTGATTTTGTTGGAATTTGTTGAATGTATTTGGAAGGGAAGAGACAGAGTTTTGCATAGGCTAAATCTCACTGCCTGTCTGCCTGCAATAGCCAGGGATGGCAAGGCTGAGGTTAGGAGCCAGGAACTCAATCCAGATTTCCCATGTGATGGCAGGGACCCAAGTATGTGATTCATCACCTGCCACCTCCCAGAGTGCACATTAGCAGGAAGCTGGAATGGAAGTGGAACCAGGACTCAAACTCTGCACTCCTGTGTGAGATGTGGATGTCCCAAGCTGTGTCAGCTGCCAAGCCAGATGCCTGCCCCTGAGCTTCTTGTTTTGTTCACAGATGTTTTCAGTGCCTACAAAAATATCTGACACATTGCAAACATTTAATATGTAGTTATGGAATGAAAGAACCAATCAAAGCAGATTTTTAAAAATAAGTTTGTAAATAGTCTAAAATTTGGGACATCCCTTTTTTTTCCCCTCTTCCACAAAGTCAGTATTATAGATGAAAGCTGTATTCTCAGGTCAGACCATGCTTATTAAACTTACAAGTTAATCATAAAATTACCTTTCACTATGATGCATCATTTACACACAGTATGTGCGTGAAAATTGAGAGTGGAAAAATTGAGGGAATTAACATTTGCGTTAAAAAGGGATGTTAATTAGTCCAAGGATTACCCAGGATTCTGCTAAAGCCCCTTTTATAAACCTTCTTCCCCAGGCCTTTCCTGGTCACTCCAGACCACAGTAAACAATCCTGTGCTTGACCTCACGGAGTACTTGGTATCTGTCGTGGTGTTTGCACCTGCTCTTTTGCAGAATGGCCTCTTCAGCTGGATCATCACTGGCTGGAAGTGGCTTAAGTCTCTGAAATATCGAACAAAATGAGTTGCAGCAGCCGCCCTCCCTCTGTCCCCTCCAGACAGTGACAGGCTGGCCCAGCCCTGAGAGCACTCATCCTTGACCCACCTCTGCTGTTAAGAGCCTTAATCCATCGTCAGCATCTGCACTGCTCAGTGCTCACCCCTGGCTAAGCCACTGGAGGATTAACATCTGCTGAGCTCCTGCAAACAGTGCTTTGTAATGTAGACTTTTTGTCTTCATCTCGAAGATATAGCATCAGGTGAAGATAAACAGATATAAGACGTAACGCCTTTTGCAGAAATAATTCTCTGGCCTGGGTCACCTAGTCCCTATGAATTTTGCATTTAACAGGCTGGAGCTGCTAAATTGAATATTGGTTTTCTTCATAGGTATTAACATTTGAATGTCTCTGGGAATGTAACTTGCCTTCCCAATTGGGTAGTGAATATGTAAAGACAGACAGGAGTATGTTTCTACCTCAAGACAGTTATCACAGGGTTTTAGATGCTCTCATAATTATCATAAAAGTTCACATTGATTTGTTTGGATGTAGGTGGCTATATCTTACTTAATTTTTTTAGTCACTCCATGGGGCAGGTACAGTTATTGCTCCCATCTTGGGGATGATGATTTTGCTACACAAAATGGTTTAGTAAGCTGCTGCACAAAGTGACACAGCTAATAAATTACTTTCACTCGAGGCAAGCTGACATCTAGCTCCTAACCCTGAGTCCCCGACAGTGGGTACACAGACATACCCCTGTGTGCATACACATATTGAATATGCACATGCATACATTCTGTTGATCCATCATGAATTATCTCAAGTGTGTTATACACCTGGTATGGCAGTACTCAATATAATTGATGTTACATTAAACAGCTCTCACCTCTATGTGCATGGCATTTGTCATACACGAAGCAGTCATAAAACAGGGGCCAGCACGGTATCAGGCTAAACCTGCCTGTGGCACCGGCATTCCATATGGGTGTTGGTTCTAGTCCTGACTGCCCCACTCCTTAATCTAGTTTCCTGTTAGTAGCCTGGGGAAACAGCGGGGATGGCTTCTGCACCCACATGGGTGACCTGGAAAAGGTTTATTGCTCCCAGCGCTGGACCTACCTAGCCCAGGCCACTGAGGTCATTTGGGGCGTGAACCAGTAGAAGGAAGATATTCTCATTCATTTTTTCTCTCATCTCTCTCACCTCTCTCTTTCACTTCTACCCCCATAACTCTTTCAAGTTAAATAAATAAAGCTTTTTTTTCTTTTTAAAGATTCCTCAAACAGATCTGGAGTTATGGTTCAGTAGGTTGAACTACAGTACTGGCAATGCCAGTACCCCGTATTAGATCACAAGTTTAAATCCTAGTTGTTTCCTTTCTGACTGAGCTCCCTGCTATGCACCTAGGAAAGCAGCAGAGGATGGTCTAAGTGCTTGGACCCCTGTATGCATGTGGGAGACCCTAATGGAGTTTAGGCTCCAGTACTGGTTTCGTACTGGCCATTGTTGCCATTTAGCAAGCGAACCAGCAGATGGACAATCTCTCTCTCTCTCTCTCTCTCTGCCTTTCCAATAATAATAATAATAAATAATCTTTAAAAAAAATTCGTAAGACACTTTTCAAAAAATTAGAATAGCTCAACCTGACTTTTGCTCTTAAAATTTGTGGTCCTTCTGTTCCTTTTAAGGTCTGTTTCCCTCAATAATAGAAACGAACAAGCTGGGAAAAGGATATGCCAATCACACAGCCAAGGGAACAGCATACCCCACACTTTCCCGTACAAAGCCTTCAGAGCTCATACTTGACCATTTTAACCACGAGCTTTTTTCTGCCTCCCCAAGGAGATAGTTGGAGTCTCCAGTGCAGTGATGTTGCTCACTAAGTGGCATTTTGCCAGCCAGCCCTTCCAGGTTATGGAAGGGCATGGAAAAGAAGGCAGTGTCACAGGAAATACTTTCACAGCCAAGAACAGAGGGAGAGAACAATTTGCCTCTTGTGATGAATTTCAGGGCTGCTCCAACCTAATATCTTAAGAAGCATACTTAGCTTCTCTCCCAGCTTTCCCCCCAAAGAACAAAATCTCATGACTGACCACCTAAGTCATTTCATTTTAGTTTTGTAAGTAGCTGTAGAATATTTTTAAAACATCTTCATATGTACTTTTGCTCCTTAGACTTTCCTTTTTTTTTTTTTTTTTTTTTTTTTTTTTTTGCCTATAGTGACTTCACTGTTTAAAAATAAAAGATCTTGAAGCCAAGGCTTTTGTTCTGGAAAAGGGAAAACACGAAAGAACCCAGCAAGCAGAATTCAGCAAGTCAAAGTCTTCTCTCTGAATTTCAAAAATAGGTTCTTAGGAGGGAAGGATTCAGACAATAGCAGTGAACAAGCATACTTGTAGATTAGATATAGATAGAGACATAGATATAGATATACTACGTACATATGTGTGGGTGTCACTCTTCAGATAATCCTGGAGCACTGAAAGCATGGAGTTTCTTACACAGATCACTAAGAGAAAAAACATGATGATATGCAAGCCACTTGTCCACC